CATACAGAAGAAAAATGGTAAGGTATTTGCCTCCACATTGACACTGTAAAATAGACCTCTGTATAAAGAATGATTTTTCATACTAAAATTTTACTCCTTAGCAAATCCAGTGACAAAATATGGGTCAAAATGTTTTACGTAATCAGAAAGGATGTGATGGTTTCAAATGTATGACTAATCAGTAACTTGGCATTCTTCTCTATATGTAGTACACACATGTTGTTACAAGAAAAGGAATTTTATTCTGTAGTGTTTATATCTTAATTTGATTGAAATATACTCTTTTTTTGTAGATCCACTACCTGAGCCTGCAGAGGGGCAACAATGTTGGAGACACAGTGAGGCTCATCTTAAGGAAAACAGGGACCAGTGCCTTGTGGGGAGAGTACAGTTTGAAGGGGAGGAATGGGAAAAGATCCTTTGAGGAGCTGGAGCTATACAATGTGATCTTATGTAAGTATATATAACTCTATAAATAATAAATAATAATAAAGACCTAAAAAACAGACATATAAAGACCCTGTAGACATGAGTCATGCAATCAAATTAAATAACTTTGACATGACATGTTTTAAGCAAAACTTATGTATACTTACAGTATGATAAAACAAAACAGGCAATACTTCTTACATATTTACATCAGGTGACGTGTGTGTGTGTGTGTGTGTGTGTGTCTTTTGCAAATACTGTAGCTGCATGCAGTAAAGTTCACCCTGAAGCAACCAACCTCACCATGGATAATTCAATTGCCGTGACACTAAAGCACTGTCCACGCCATGGATCTCAGAAGGTATGGAGACGTTTTTATATTGTTGGTGGTCTAGTGGTTAGGATGCTCACCTGTGGACCAAGAGGTCATGGGTTCAAGTCCCACATCTAGCACTACCGTCATTGGCTCCCTGAGCAAGACCCTTAACTCCAACTTGCTGAATTTAGAAAATGGAAGTTGCTCTGGATAAGAGCATCTGCTAAATGCTGTAAATGATTATCTTAACACTGAATAGTTACATAAATATCATTAAGACATATGTGTGTTCTTACATGCATGGTTCATAACACCTACCCCACTCATACCATACAAGATTATCTAATGAATGTATTCAGTTTTAGAGGTAAACTGCTGTATGGTCTTCTGTAACTTTCTTCTGTGTTCTCCTAGGATGATGCTGCAGTGAGAGATACAAGGGAAATGGAGCAGGGACCTGAAGCGGATGAATTTGCCTGTTAATGTTGACTTTAACATTTAATAGTTAATAAAAATGCATTATTCATATTTAAATACATATTATAATATAAAAATTCCATCCATCCACCCATTATCCAACCCGCTTATCCTACTGGGTCGCAGGGGGTCCGGAGCCTATCCCAGAAGCAATGGGCACGAGGCAGGGAACAACCCTGGACAGGGGGCCAGCCCATCGCAGAATATAAAAATTCAGAATTATTTATTGCATATATAATTTTTATTTTATTTGGTTTTTACATATATATACAGTATATATATATATATATATATATATATATATATATA